CCTCGGGTTTCCTGCTTTTCATTGAGCAACAGAGAACAGAACAAACTCTGTCCAGTATCCGCAGCGATGCTAAAGAGTCCACGAAGCAGAGGCACGTTATCACCTCAAAGATAAGATGTGCTGTTACTCTGCACAACTCAACCAGCGAGCACTCACAGATAAAGCCACCTGAGGACGAGGCATCGTATTGATATGTTTTATTTTAATGCTGATGATTAGAATCACTTCGGTGTTTTTAATCCTGAAACTTTCACAACAAAACAGGAAGCCTGGTTTACACCTGAAAACATACAGAACAGGGCTGCAGCTCGGGCTGAGCAATGAAACAACGTCATTACTTTACTTGAAAAATGAATTAACAGAAGTTTCACTTCGGTATATTTCTTATGCATTGTGCAAGAACAGTTATTGCACTTCATTATCCAGCTCAGAAGTAAAATGTTTTGATGTTTATCAAGTGTTTCTCACTCTCTTCTCATAAAGAGTTCAAAACCACAAACCTCACTCGGAGGAGTTGGTCTAATTATAATGTGACACTGATCAAGATAAATCTGTGATGACACCTGATGTGAAAATGCTTCTCTTCAGTTGCTTTTGTCTGTTTTGCCAGATCAGCTGCAGCCAATTTACCGATCATCACTAATTCATAACTGGTTTTAAAAAATAAAGACCAGAAAATGCAAACGTGTCGGTTTCTTGTCTTCTGAACACTTTTTTAAAAAACGTGCACATGCACCGGTCACTGTCTAAAGTCACTACCTCTGCTCCTGTGGATAAACGGTGACATCACTTTCGTAACTGTACATTACCTGCACATGAGCCACTGAGTATTTGCACTGCTTCAGCTATTTTTGCACAATTTTCCCTTTTGCACAACAATCAAACGCTGCAGTTCACAGTTACTCCATAATTACACGTTGTGTACTCGTATGTATACTTTACTTTGGTACGGTGGCTGAGAGCTCAACGCACAAGAAAATCCAGAAACCAACTTCATCCGGTCGACGACACGTGTGCTGCAAATAGTGAAAACGACAGCGGAAGTGTTTCCAGGGGGAAACAAGAAGGTGACGAACCTGCTGTCGTTCAAGGCTTTGTGACGTTGTTGAAGCCCGCCACTCGTCAGCGGAGATGGAACTGTATTTGCATGTGTTGTGACTATTCGCAGCACGTGTGTCGTCAAATCGATGACGCCGTTTCCACAACCGTCCTGTGCGGAACTGACAATGGGACTTGGGAATGAAGTTTTAAATTCGCAAGGACATTAAACAAAGTGAAGCAACAGAGAAGCTGGAAAATGTTTTGATATCATTATTCAAACAAGTCTCAGAGGAGTGAAATGTCAGCTGACCCAGGTCGGTGTGACAAACCAGACGGATGCAGATACATTCGCTGCACAGGTTTCAGGCCGACTTGGCTCCGAGCTGCCGCTGCTGCTGGTGCGGAGAAGCAGACGCGACACATGCGGCTGCAGCTGAGAATGTTTGCATGAATTCTACAGGGTTGACATGTGAGTCAGGAGGAAAGGTGCAGCCTGGCCTCGCTCGTCAGAGAAGGGAGGAGATGTTAAAATCTAAATGTTTATGTGAAGCTTCAGATGAGCTTTGTTAAAATGTTTAAGTTTCACAGACTGTCGTCCTCCAGGTGATCGGACTGTGAAGCTCCTCTCAGAAACCAGGTCACTAGTCCGTCTGTGATTATCTTCATCTGATTTGAACTGTTTAACATCTCTTCTCTTGTATTTACAGTCTGACTGTAAATCACACGTTCATAATGTTACAGGCTCAGTTATTTATCTTTCAAACTGTATTTATATTTGGCTTCGATACTCTTGATACTCAATCACCTTGTACTTGAGATATTTGTACTGTGAATACTTCTTCACAGCTCGGGTGGTGGTGGTTCGTCTCACTGCAGGGATCATTCTGACTTTTAATGAATCTGTAGCTGCTTGGTTTTCCACTGGATCAATAAAATATCTGTGTCTTTATCAATCTAGATGTTTGATTCTCATCCGAGCTGCAGATGATTGAGTTTCACTTTGACCCCCCCACTGGCTAAAAACACGTGTTTTCTGCAGAAAACTACCATCCCCGTTAGCATGCGTGCTAAGCTACGTGGCAATCGAAGTTAAAATGTTTGTTGTGTTCATGCACGACGAGTCTCCTCAGTGTCAACACGTCCAGACGGCGAGTGTGTGTGTGTGTGTGTGTGTCTGAGTGCACGTCAACAAGCTAGCTGGCTAACAAGCTAGCAGGCTAGCTCGGGTCGGAACCCGGGTTTAAAACTCAAACACCGAAGTTTCGCGGGTTGAACGCGCGTGAGTGTGAAGTTCAGACGTGTTGAAAATCTCACCGTCACCGTCGGGACCCCGGGAGCGCAGATGCTAGTTAGCCGACAGCCTCGCAGCCCATTCAAAAACACAGACAAAAAGCGCCTAAGCTAAGCTAACCGCGGCGGTTAGCGCCCAAATTCCGAGTCTCGGGACAGCTCGCCCTGAGCGGGACGTGTCCGCTAACTCAGCCCGCTGAACCCAGCCCGCCTCCCGGCTCCGGCCGCTCACCTTTCCCGTAGAACTTCCTCCCGCTGGTCACGTCGAACACCTTCATGTTGACGGCCATGAGGATGCGCGGGTTGAGGAGCCCGTCGTACTCCCGCAGCTGCTCCAGCGTGAAGTCCCGTCTCCTCATCTTGGGCAGCGCCGAGGCCTCGTCGCCCCGGGCCGCGTCGGGGCCGAGCCGCCTGCCCCACCGCCGGTACGCCGCCGCGCACACCGCGGCCACCGCCACCAGCAGCCCGATGTTCAGCAGCATCCCGCCGAGGCCGAGCCCGTCCGACTCCTCCGCTGCCCCCTGCCCGCCGCTGGCGTCCGCGGGTCCGCTCCAAGTGTCTCCATCGTCCGCCATGCTGCACGCCCCTGCTGCTGCCTCCACGGACCGTGGGAGAGAACAGACTCGCTGGAGGAGTCGGCGTCTGTTTTGTTACATCGTGTTCTCGGTGTAAACTGATCCGTCAGCTCCGCTGTGACCCAGCAACACGGGGGGAGGGAGGGAGGGAGGGAGGGAGGAACCAGCCCGAGCCCGTACCCTCACCCAGGGTGAGGAACACGGAGCATGAGGCTGATGGTCACATTTGTTTTATCATCGGTTCATCTTGGTCAGTGAATAACCAGTGAATGCAACATCTGCAACATCTGCACATCACTGGTTCCACTGGTGATTTAAAAAGTCTGCTGTCATGTGACATCTTAAATGTGGGAAGCACACAGGAAATAAAACACCAAGAAATGGATCAGACAAGATGTGACAACAAAACAACAACTTAGAGATCAGGACCAAAACAAGAGACAAACCCTACAGACTGAAGTTAAACCATGAACAAGAAGCACCCATCAACAACTAAGAGATAAGGAAGACACAGACTATTTGATAAATATACAGATGTGACTGATAATCACATTATTTTCACTCTCCTACAATTCTTCGGTTCATCGGTGTTGGTAAGGACCAGTGAGTTCACGATCTGCAAAATCCTCCCATCGCTGGTTCCAGTCCGATGCTTTGAACGTCTGCATTTAATTTCCTGGGATTCACACAGGAGCAACAACGAGACACGATATGACCACAAAGAAACACAAAAGTGTCAATGACTTCTGCAAAATACCAAAAAGAAAGAAAAAACAACTTAAGACTTGTCAGTTTCTTTCAGTCTGGAGGTTTTATAAAGGCCTCTGCTCAGTTTCTCAAGCCTCCATGTGAAAAAAGACACTTTAATTGACATATAACACGAAAAAAGAACATAACGAGACACAAAACTGTCAGAAAGAGACAAAAACCACAACTAAGAGGTGAAAATGAGCAGAAAGAGACACAGAACTCCCACAAATGGATGAAAAACCAGGGAAACAAAGCACAACAGCCCACGAGTGAACACAACAGTGTCACAAATAGATGCAAAAAGAGACAAAACAACTTTCCTGTGTCTGTCAGTCTGGAGGTTGTGTTTCAGAAGGCGGGGTCTTTTACTTGCCTCTGCCCAGATGTGCTCCTTCTCTCGTGCCCTCTTCGTAAATAGGATAAACTTTAATCTAAACTTTTATCGACACACGACACAGTGACTTTACTCGGAGCTCCTGTGTTCAACCTTTAAAAACACTGAATACATATTGAACAGAAAGTCTATGGGCAGACGTATGAGGACATTTTGTTCTAACAGTCACAACCTCTGTGACATTGTGTTTTTACAAACTGTCATCTGCTGACTGTTGTCTGTGAGTATTTGACTATTGTCTGTTACACCCCAGTTGTCATCGTGTCTAATATTTGTGTTATTACGAGTTTGTCGCAGCACTAAACTGAATAAAAAGCTGCTTACTAATGAAACTAAATGTACTGACGACACGCCAGACGATATTAGTCAACGATGAAGAAATGCATTTTGAGACGAGTCTTAAAAACATCTTCACATTTAATATTAACTGTCCCAGAGAAAGAAGTCTTCCAGACAGCCACGTTTTTATTTTGGAAGCGGGATTTCCGAGGAACACGTGAAGGCAGCAAAGCACCCGCCTACCTGTGTTATGAGACTCGAGGTTTTTTTCCCTCTGTCGCGACCCGTAGACAGAAAAACCCAAACAACACAAACTTCTTCTAAAACGTTTCAAACTCTTTTACTGTTTTTTACTCATTTGTTCTTCTTCTCTTCTTCTAAAACGAGATAACGATGGAAACACAAATCAACTTTCGCCCAAAAGTCTGTTTATAAAACAACAGTTTCTTCTCAGTGAAACGTTATTTGCCCGTATTATGGTCAGAAAACCTTCTCATCTGTTCTACATCATGAGCTCTTTGTGTTTATGCTTCACCTGAGCCTCCCTTTTCCACCGAGGCGTTCACCGACCGATCAGGTTTGACGACCGTCTCATCGCCTGACGGTTGAATCTGCAGAGTTTGAGATAAACCGAGCGACGGCAGAACAGATCACACCAAACAAACACCAGCTCGTACAATCAAGTGTTATTTTATATATTTTTTTGCATTTTACAATTCATCGACATGCGTTGCTTTGTCCTAAAACACACTCAAAAAAAAAAAACCACATTACCGATAAAACAAATCACTTCTTAAAATCAAAAGGATAATTGAATAGCAAATGATTTTTTATAGTATTTACATTTTTTTCTTTAAATTCAACTCTAAATCTTCTCTTTAAGTCCACTGATGAAGTAAAGGAAAGTTAATGATTAAAGTGCTCTAGAGCACTAAGCCTCAAACATAATATGAAGTAAACTTCAAGCTAAAATATATTGTAGTTTTTTTTATGAAGCTAGCTCACACCCATAATTCCAGCAGAAATATCTTCTTTTTTTTTTTTTTTTCATCATAGTCAATAGCAAAAGCTATTTAAAACTGCATCGATTACCTAAGACTATTCCATCAATCAAGTAAAAGGAAAAATAAAAACAAAACAATAAATTATTCTACCTCTGGGTGTAAAACGGGACTTAAAGTAAGTAAAGCTTCCCAGATGAATTTGTCATTTTTCCCAGGTTTGAATTAAAAAACCGATGCGATGGTTCAGCTGTGATGTCTGTCAGTCAGACCAAGAAACATCAGGCCACATCTGTCGCGGAGCAACAGCCTCGAGGGTCGGCCCACAAACGTACGACCGCAGATGTCGACTTTGATTGTCACGATGAAGAAGGTGAAGAAATTTATGCCAAAAAAACAAACAAAAAAAATAGTAAAAATGTGAGTGGTGGTCACGTTGAAAAACATTAAAACCCCAAATCATCACCTGGGAAGACTTTAAAAAAAAAAAAAAAAAAAAACAGAATTTGGACTTTGTGTTTTGTCACCAATCGTCCTCCGATGTCCTGGTGAGTCAGATTTAAGGCACACAAGACAAATCTGCAGCATCTCTTATCTTGGCAAACTAGAATCACAGTTCAACACCTCGTCACAGACCAGAGCGGTCGACGGGTTGTGGAGGTCGACTCACTTGTTGAAGCGTTTGGCATCTGAGAGAACAAAAGGCAAAATGCAGGGAATGCATTTTTTTTTTTTTTTCTGTAAACATAATGAGCTGCACAGATTCAAGCTCACTGCCTATGCTTGCTTGCTTGCTTTAAAATGAAATGCACTGATAAAAACAATCAAATGAAGTCAACCACGCTCAGTCTCTCTCCACACCCTGACGGTCTGCCGCTGAAAACAGCAAACTCCAGAGCTCGGAGCCGCATCGCTCCGCACCTCTTCTATCCAAACCCACGCCTGCGGAGAGGGAGCTTCATTTATTTGGTGCAGCGCTCTGCTTCTTCCCGGCCCCGGAGTCCGTCTTCTTCGGCTGGGCGCTCGCTCCAGCGGCGGATTTCTGGGCGTTTTCTTTGGGTGCGTTCTGAGCAGCAGCGGCGGTGGCGGCAGCAGCAGCAGCGGCGGCGGCGGCGGCGGGTTGAGCGGCAGCACCGGAGGATTTAGACGCCTGCGTGGGCTTTGAGGTAGTGTTGGAAGGGTGTCGCCGACGCCTCCCTTCGTCCCCGGCCGAGGACGAGTGACGTCTCCTCCTGCCGCCCTCCTCTCCCATCGGGGGCTGCAGACGCAAAGGTCAAAGTCAGGATTAACGTGAGAAAACCAACACAGCCTTTATGCTACCAGTGAGAAACCTGGAGGTTTATCAGAGCTCAGAGACCCAAGCATCGTTTAAAAACAAACTCCCGCACGAAAAACTTCCAGAGCGGAAACCTCTGACTTTTTATTTTTAAATCATTTAACCATTATTTATTGATTTTCAATATTAGCTGGTCTTCACTCACCACCACCCTGAAGTCCTCCAGGTTCTTGAACTGGGAGAGGTGCTCCTGCAGCTTCGGGTCGATGGGCTGGTTCCTCATCTTTGAATATTTCAGGAAGGCCCAGAACTTCTCCAGACCGTACAGCTGACCTGGAGGGGGAGACGGGGGAGACGGGGGAGACGGGTTCAACACGAGGATTTAGAGGTTTCACCATCACATCATCATCTACAGCTCAGTTTCCTCTGTGTTTCTATCTGACTTGAATAAATTCTCAGAGAAGGAAAATCAGGCCACATTAACTCCAGAAGATAATTTAAAAAAAATCAAATATTAATATTTTATCCAGAAGTAACAAGTAAACATTTCACAACTAATCCATGAAGTCGTCTGATTAGATAAGAGACTCGTGTTCAGTAAGAGGTGGAGACAGTTTGCTCTGGTTCAGTCTGCACTGAGCTCAGATCCACAGTCGGAGGAAGCTTCCAAACGTTTTTTAACACCAAAGTAACTTCACTGGAAATAAGTGTCTCACGTCAGAACTGAGAATCGTCCGCTCTGCTCCACCGAGTCACTCAGTGTTGAACGAGCTGAGGAATCCTGTCCTGTTCTTTTAAACACAACTGCACATTCGGCCTAGAGGAGTTTTAGTCGGGTAAAGTAGGTTTACAAGGGAATTAACACTTCATTTGAATTCTGCTTTTCACAGACAACATAT